GATAAGCAAACCAAATCTTTAAAATTCCCACGCAAATTGGACTCCCAATTTTCTCTGTGACCTCGTAGAGCCAAAGAGTGTTGAGCAAGGTAGAGTATTATGTCAATAATTGCTGCGACAATTAGACGGTTCGTAGCAACAAATGTGTTCCTTGCTCTAAGAATTGAAGGTTGAAGAGGCACACACTGATCTTCTAATTTCAATTTAAGAGAAGCTTCAACATGAAAGGAAGAAGTCTCATGCATTATTAGTCTCTGTGTTGCCTTGCTCCATGTGCCAAACCCTTTCGTGACCCAAACAGACTGCTTATCATTTCCAATTAAAATACAATATAAACAAAATATACGGTCTGTACTGCACGGATATGAAAGCCATTCTCTTGAGCTAGTAGTGCCATCAGGTAATGTTTTTTTATACCACGAAGGAAGAAAACTCCTATTGTTTCGCATAGGAAAACAGTTCTTGGACATATCCTCTTTCTGAGGCTGATGAGGACCCCAGCTAAGAATTAATTTTCTTTTTTCATAAGAAAATGGGCCAGATGCAATTATTTTTATAGGATCTTTTTCTTCGATACCAAACTCTAAAAATTAGAAAAATCGTATATATTTTTACAATGGTTTAAAAGTTGATATCTAATCCGGACTATTATAAGCAATTAAGTTACTAGAGAAATGACGTACGAAAAGAAAAGATTATTTATTGTGTTAAGACCTGGTACTAATAATTCATTATTTCCTCGGGGAAAGAAAATTAATAGCAAAAGAAATTAATTTATATAATATTAACTTAACATATAGTAATAAAATATTAATTTAACCTGTTGCATCAGAAATAGTAAAAGACTGGTCTTCATTAGAAATTTTGCAAGCTTTTTCACTTCCTATTTAACAAACAAATAAAAATTAAATCAACATTTTTATAAAGTATATATAAAATCAAATTAAATTACCTTCTAAATCATCAACTGCAGAAATGTGATCTTTATTGACAACAATGTCATTTAAACTTGTTTTACCTAATAACACAACATACATAATAAATATAAATAAAAATAAAAATATAATAGTTGAATAAAAATTAACCTGATGATTTAGCAAGTTCAGAGATCTGGTCTTCATTAGATATACCACATGCTTTATCAGTTCCTATTAAACAAGCAAATTTAAAATTATTATAAGTTGTAAATAAAATCAAATTAAATTAGGTACCTTCTAAATCATAAACTCCAGAAATGTGATCTTCATTGACAACAATTTCATTTAAGCTTGTTGTACCTATAAAAACAACATATAATAAAATAAATATAAATAATAAATACCATGATGAATTCGCAAGGGGTCTAGTAATTAAAAATTACAAATGTTTTTGCTAACATAAAAAAACTGTTAATTTTATTTCAATTCTTACAAAAAAAAAAAATTAAACTACCTACCTTTTAAATTATTGACTTTGCGGTTTTGATTAAAAATATTGTGCACATTTGATTTTCCTATTTAACATATAAAAATTAATGTAAAATGTGTATTTAACTATATAGTTGGAGCCTTGTTTTAAATTAATGATTTGAATTCGTCACTAAATTATCTATGCTTTGGCAAATTAATTTTTCTGATTTTTCTTTTTTAGATTTTGAGTGGAACGATGAATGTATTGATTTTACAATGATGTGTGTTTTTTTATTTTAATTTTTTATTTTTTTTGTGTCTGTGTACACGATAAGTAGTCGAAATAATGCTTCGATTTTCAACTTCAGTATTTTGTTCGATTCGAAAGTGAATATCGTTGGTGCATTGGGGAGGTCAATATTTAAAATTCCCAGTAATTTTCAAAAGCGCCAAGAAAAACAAAAGAAAAATTAAGGAAAAACGGGAATTTTTACGCAAAATCGATTTTTCACAAAATTGAATTTGGTTTTTCGTGTAACTTTAAAATAAATGACCGTAGGTACATGTAATTTTCACTGGTTGTTTATATTTGCATTTTCTATACACGATAACATTTTCAAAATATTTTGACGCTTTTTGAACTGTTTAGAGACGTTTTCATTTTCCATTTTTTTTTAGTTTTTTTTTATAAAAATATCAATAAAATTTTATTTGTTGATTAAAAAAGCTTGAAAATTTAATAGAAGGATCCAAGTATATTGTTTCAAAGGCAGATGAAAAATATTAAAAATCCTTAGTCACAGTTTTTTTTTTATAAGCATTTAAAGTTCAAAAATTTACAAAATATGGAAAAATCACGAAAATTAGCAAATTATTTTGAGTTAAGAATTCGTAAAAATTTTTCTTTTTAAATCTAAGATTTGAAAATCTAATACAAGATTACTCATAATCTAAAATAATATACCTTTATCAATAAAAAAATCTCTACCGGAAAGTCAAATTAAATTTTTTTTGAGCGTTTGAAATTCAAATTTTTACAACATTGGATATTCACTTGATTTCTCATGTAGCGATTTCCTTATTTTGTTGTAATTCAAAAACGAATAACTATAGATACATGAAAATTTCACTTAATGTTCAGATTAGCATTTCCTACACACTAAAATTTTGAAAATATTTTGACTCTTTTTGAGCTGTTTACGGACATTTTCAGTTTTCAATTTTTTTAGTTTTTTTTTTCTATAAATATCAATAAAGTTTTATCTATTGGGCCAAAAAGTGTAAAAATTTAATACAAGGCTCCTGATATATTGTTACAGTAGCAATTGAAAAATATTAAAAATACATAGGCACAATTTTTTTTATAAGCATTTAAACATCGAATTTTGACAAAATTTATCAAAATCTCGAAAGTTATCAATCATTGTAATTAATAAATTATAAAATGTTCAGTTTTTATAGCTAAGGATTGCAAATTTAAAACAAAGGTTCTCATAAATAGTTCATACTTTAACCAAAAAATCTAAAAAATATATGAACACAGTTATTTTTTACAGACATTTTAAATTCAAATTTGGACGAAATTACATATTAAAATCAATATTAACTATCTTTGTTTTTGTTGTAATTTAAAAATATTATTCGGTGATATATGAAACTGAAAAATCAAAATATTAAGGCCTATTCACACAATCTACCATAGTATCTAAAAGGAATAAGAAGTATGCTCATGATAAGACTGTGCATATTTTAAGGAATTTATTCATAAATTCCATATAATTTAATACCATAGAAAAGTATACAATATGTCTTATAGGTACTTAGACTGACATACCGTCTCCACTCAGAATAGTTTTTCTTATACAATGATATTATATCATTGAATTCAAATTTAATACCATCCATTATACAGTGACCCACTTGTAACCTACAGTACAGCAGAGTGACATCCACTTACCCACCTTTTTTTACTTAAAAATGTACTGACAAAAAGAGCAAAAATACCTAGATTGTTTTCATAATTCAAATTTAAATACATATTGATATAGAATATGAAAAATGTACGACAGTAATTATAGCATAGTAAATTTAGAAGCGAATACAAATCTGCTCTCAAAATGTATACCTGAACATCCTATTCATACCTAATTATTGAAGTCACTCGCAATATTTTTTTTTAAAAAAATTTTTGTAAATTTTTAAGGTAATATGCGGTGCCACATGCATGTGTGTAGGTAAAATGACAGACGTACATTCCGATCACTATGATGCCCCCATATAACCTGGTATTCGGTACTACAAATTACACACACTAATGTTAATTTATTTTCAACACATTCACAAGACCCATATAAACTGAAATATAAAACGCATAGTTTTTACTCCCTAGAATGGATTACGCTCAGCCCCCTTAAATTTAATTAAATACTTACTCTTTTGCAATGATGTTCCATCAAGTCCATCAAACACTGTAGAATCTCTTTTTTTTGAAAAATAATTTGTTAAATTATTGCATGTTTTTGATATTTTTAGTCTCTCTTCTGATTTACAGGACGAAATATGTCGCTTCCAATTGGTTTCATTTAAGTTCAACTTTTTTTTACCACATGAACACACCAAGTCTAAACCAATATTTGAATTTGACATTTTGTAGGAAATTAAAAATATTATAATTTTGCACTAGTGCACTATGCCACTATAATAAATATTTATGAAAAACAATAACTCACAACACTATAACACAGAAAATAGTAATAACGTAGCTGTGCGAGCTGTGAGAATGCCAATTATATGTCTCGTCTCTCGTGTCGCCGTCGTTCCATCGATATGCGATATACAAAATTATTAGTGTGCATTAAATATAAATCCAGTTTGGGAAATTTCATAGCTGGAGCGCCTGGTGCGTATAGCTGTATCCATAGTACCATTTGTTTATAAATAGAAGTCGGACGGTGGTGGAAGATGCTCGTTTCATAATTTACAATATTGAATATATTATATATATATATTATTATGTTGTTCATCGAAAATAGAAATAATATAACCCAGACATTTATACGATTATACGAATCATTGATTTAATAATTAATTTATATATTATAAAATTAATATTTAAATTATAAAATCTTTGATCAGTAATCAATGGTAATAATTACTAATAAATAATACAAATTAAAATATTTTATAACATAACTTTGACAAATCGTTCACCTTTATGGATTAGCATTTAGCACAGAGTCACAAACTACAAATAAATTATTTTATTAATTTCGATGTATTCCCACCTTGCGCGGTAGGAATGCCTATCCTGATTCACGAATACCGATTTGATTGTATTTTGTAACACCGTGAAAACATGCCACCATAAGAATCTATTCTGCGATGTTATGGATGATAAAATATTAAAATACTCTTTAGTATTTAGTAAGTTACCTAGGTACTTACCTCTTATATTTTATTTTAGTCTAATGGCCATAGCCCATAGCCTATATTATTTAGTAGTATATTTTAAATATTTTTATACATAGTAGAATATTGTTACGTTGTGGATATTTTAGTGGCTTGGGGACACTTACCCACGGCACCCACCCACCCACCCACCCACCAAAAAAATCAGGGGTAGCAGCTCCTACCCTTGAACCTTCCAGTGTGCGCCACTGCCAATACCACAACTTTCGGAGTAGTAATTCCACTTCTTACCCATTCTGTCAACCAATGAGTAATACTATTATTGTCATGACGTTCAGAAATCATGTGAGCTACTAAAAATTGAGATTTTTTTATACAATCCATAACAGCGATTTGGTATAGAAATAAATGACCAGTTTTTCGACCAGACAATAAATTAATGCTTTTAACTATGCCTCCCGTTGCATCAATGCTTATTGTTGGTATTTTATTATTTTTGCAGTAATTTCTATATGAGTTAACCTCTTGAGCAACCCAATAATGTACAAAGAGTCTATCATAGCCAATATCTCGAATAATATTATTATAAGGATACATTCCCTTCATTAACAGTACGGCTAAGATTGGGTCTTCATTTAAATGATTTTTCTTATTTTCTTTGTACTTCATGACACGTAATGCATTTAATGATAACAAAAAAAATTTGTAACAAATTTTTCTACATTATAATGTTATACAAATCTACTAAACCAGTTTGAGCAGTTTTTTTAAAAGACATGAAGTTCTAATTTTTATGATTTTGTTTACCTACATATTATTTAAATAAAAAATAACAGTTTTAACTATTAATTGTAATTTAAAATTGTTATCCTCAGGGACTTATTACTTTTCCCTATTATGTTTATTATTATCATTTAAAAAGCGTATTTAAAAAAGTTAATAGTTAAATAGCTAACATATGAAAAATAATTACACTTAAATTAAATAGGTATATATACAGTATGTCCTAGAAGTCCCTATCACCCTTAGTATCTCCGTGGAAAATCAATATATTTAAATGCAGTTTTTTTTACAGTAATAAGTATGGAAATTCTGATTGAATAACATAATATTCAATTTTTTTTTAGGCAAATAAGTTTTACATTTCCAAGATAGCCATCTTGTTGATCGTATTTTTTAAAACAATTAAAAAAAATATTAAAATTTAGTGAAAATCACCCAAGTTAGAGCTAAGTATAATTTTGAGTTTCTAAGAATAATAGTTTTGTTACCTATATATGCATATGGCAATAGCAAAATACGATCACGTACTTTAATCAGAAATTGGAACGCAGATATTTTTTATGACAATCTTAAGTATTAAACTATTAGTGAAGGCTTTCAGTTATAAGATAAAAAAACATACATTTTTAATAACTGATATTTTGTATGCCAAAATTCATAATAATTCCAAAAAAAATAATTGTTTTTTTTTTATTTTAATAATAAAATATCTATTTAAATCTGACAAAACTAACACATTTTAAGTTAAAATTTGGACGAAATTACATAATAAAAAACCTAGAATAACTATTTTAGTTATTTTGTAGTGATTGTATAATATTATTCGTGGGTATTTGAAACTTCTAAAGTACACTGTTTTATATCTATGATAGTATCAGGGTTTTTTGTTAATGTATAACGCGTTATAAGTACCTAATGGATATCTTGATATGATTAATTTAGAATTTATTATAGGTACCTATTATAGGTTAATTTTTTTTTAATACCATAGATATGTATATAATATGTCTTATACCTAGACTGACATACCGTCTCCGCTCAGAATCGTTTTTCTTATACAATGATATTATATCATTGAATTAAAATTTAATACCATCCATTTTACACTGACCCACTTTTAACCTACTGTACAGCAGAGCACCTTTTTTATAATTTACTTAGTTATAAACTTTTTGAAAATATATGCTTTTTAAATAATAATAAGCGTAATGGGAAAAAGTTACCGACTAATAAATTTTGAATTACTAAGTCATAATATCAATTTGAACTGTCTTTAAAAAAAATTCTCTCACGGTATTTTTGGACTCATACACAGGTTCTTAGAATATAAAATAGTAAAAATGTGTTTTTTGATACAAATGGTTGCAATTAAATTGGAAAGAAAATATAGATAATATGTACTTTGAAAACGATACGAAAAAATGTAGGGTGGCAACTTTACGCGTGTCAATGTTATATCGAAAAAATAAATTTATCAGGTAGTTATTAATCTTTTAAGACCAATAATTTAAAGTTAACATTTCTATTTAAGTAGTACCTACTATAGTTATACACTTATACGAACATATTTTGAATGGTGGTTTTTTATCGTAATAAATTTATATGATGCATTCGTTCGTACAAATAAACCTTTTTTTTTAGAGTACAATATAAGTAAAATCTAAGAAAAATATTTATAAAAACTGATTATACATTTTTATGAACCGCCAATAGATTAAGGAAGATTCTATAATATCAATTAATGTATTACTAACACATGCTATTATAGCTACTTAATAATTTTAACTACAATTACTGAACTGTTTAATTTTTGATTATGATTAGTATTTATGTGCTTGTGTATCGTTTGGTATAAATATGAGTGTGGACGAAGTGTAACACGAATTTCACTATTTATTTTTTGCAAATATATATTCAGTATAAAATGTGTATGATTATTTGTAAAACTTCAGTTAATTCCCAACAAAAAAATAAAAATAGGGTGTGGCTGCAGGTTTCAGAATGTGCTAAATGATGTTAAGTTGGTTTTTTTGGCTATTATTAAAATTTAATAAGGAATTTTAAAAATTCTATATTTAAAAAAAATGTCTGTAATTCGTATTTGGTGGTACGTGTATGAAGGTATTACGGAAACGTACATGATTCACCATTTCTACTGTAAATTATTTTACAAATTAAAATATATTATAATATTTACTTAATAATATTATCGGTAACTTAAATATCGTCTTAAAAAACCTAAGGCAGACATAAAATATTTAACTATTAATATCTATGTACTAAAAATAATAATAAATATGGGTGAGGATGGTAATTATTAACTAGTAATTAAAAATATAGGTATACGTGTATAAAAATGTATAATTATTTTATATAGGTGTATAAATACGATAAAATAATAATTTATAAATGTTTTTAAACTTAATGAATAATTTTGATTTACTCACCAGTTATAGAGTTGTAGATTGACGACGTTGGATAAAATGCGGTTGAAACAAATTCAAAAACTACAAACTATTCATAAAAACACAGCACACTTAAAGCATAAATGAATTAAAATTAAAAAATTCATTAATGTTCTGTTGAACTGTCCACAATGAAGTCACACACGGGAATGAAAATAATAATAACTAAATTTACCTAAAATATCTATAATAACTGAAATTTATATTGTAGAATTGTGTACAGGGGCGGACTGAGAAGGATCCAGCCCACTATTCCATGTTCAATATCTAAATAATGTAATATGTTAGTAAATATTGTTATACGTGGTGTTACATCAACATAACTTTTGCTAAAACCTTGTACAAATAAGTATAAAAACATAACATAATTACATAAACACATAATAATATAATCAATGCAATCAATTTGATATAATATAAAACATAATTATTAATTAAACAAAATAACATTAATGATACTTTATAGGTACATAGGTACAGTTTATATAAATTTAAATATTTTGATAACAACTTGGACATTAACGGTGATGAACTTTTTACTATTCCAAGTATGTCTTCGAATTCAATCTCGTCTAAAAATTTCTTTCTCAACTGTCATAAGAAGAAATGCTTCCAAGTGTTCATTTCCAAGAGTAGAACGTAATCGGTTTTTAATTATTTTCAATTTACTGAAAACACGCTCGCAATTTACTTGACTCACAGATAGTGTTAATACAAATTCTATGGCAGTAAAAAGATTAGCGTATAAAGGAGAGTGCATATTAAGTGAATAAATTAGTTTGTGAACACACAAGAGACAAGAATCACGATTATGTCCATTATCAGTTTTTCTCATCGAGTTGTCACAACCTAAAAAATATGTATTATTAAGTTTTTATTTATATTTGTTTATATGCCTAGGTTATAAGTTTATAACCTACCTAAATTGCTTTTTATTTTATCTGTCCTGATGTTCATGTTCGTGGTAAATTCATGTAAATTATCATTACTCTCATCATCGTCTTCTTGGCTATTATCATCATTGCTGTCATATATTATACAATTGGATTTCATGTTTAGCAGTTGTATAACACTATTGTAAATACTTGCAAAATGATTTAATTCAGCAATTAATAATGAATGGTCTACTGATGACAAAGTAGATAATTTTTTTAACGCTGACTCTGGAAGATCATCTGACTTCAAATCTTTAAAATGTTTTGGTAAAAGATACTGCATGTCAACAATTATACTTGTATTATTTGTAAATCTCTCTGAAAGGCTGGTTTTTAGTTGATCAATAATACACAAGAATACTTCAATCTTAAATTTTTGTTTGGGATTTATTGGTGATTCATCGCTACATATTTCGTTAAACATCCGCTTTGTACGTCTTACTCTGTTTTGTTTAAACTCAGATTCAACAATTATATTTTCAGGTAATTTAATAGTTGTTAACTTGGTATTCATATCCAAACACATTTTTTCTGATTCGAACATGACATCATCAAAATTAATTTTATCTATTTCTTTAATAGTTGTTTTAACCATAGCCCATGCAGCAAGGAGGTCTAAATTTTTAGTTTGCAAATAAGTTGAAGTAGAACCAACAGTTATAAATATTTTTAAAAATACATGAGCTGTACATATGATTTTAAAATTGCATAAATTTTCTATTAAAGACGAGTCCTCAGATGAAGACTTTGGATCAAATTTACTTGATGTAGCAACAAAGTTTAGAGCACTAAGAACAACTGGATATAAACAGTCATTACCACTGAAAACCCATTTTAATGCTTTTTCCCGAGACCACCATCGAGTTTCACCAATTTTTTGAAGTTTTCTTAGTTTATTCTGGCCAGTTCCTAGTTGTTCTTGTTGGTCCTTCCAAACATTCATTCTTTTGTAAGAGTCTGAGAAGACTCTGAGCGTTGACCAATGTCTAGCAAGCTGCAATGTTTTGTATTTATTTATAGATACCTACGTTGCTCTTCATGGCATAATAACACAGAATATTATGTGATAATTACGTGTTATTCTGTGATAATAATAATAATAAATCCCCGATAGGAGTGGACGATAACGTATAACAAAATATTTATAATTGTTTTGAATGTTGATATCTATAATCTATAATCTATACTCTATGTTAACGGTGTAGTGATCCCTCACTAACGCTTATATTTTTGAGTTCGACGACGTTGATGGTTGAATAGGATAAAAGGTTGCAGAGACAAGTTACACAAGTTAGTTATAAGTAGTTTATTAATGTTTTAAAAAAAGTAAATGTTCACAATTAAGTGTATAAATTTGAGGACAGAGCGAAAAGCATCTGCCCGAGAAGTTAGTCACGTACAGTATGTACGTAGTGCAAACTCTAAACTAATTCTAATTTTGCTACAGACATCATCTTATATTTATATGAAATCTATGCGGATATAAACGTACACGGTAGAGTCAAGGAGATGGATATCTGAAAGGAGCTAGATGTTGTTATTGCCAAAAGACCTGAACTATAACAATTTAATAGTTCGTTTCTGCGAAAACCTATTAATGCTTTTAATGTTAATGCTTTCGCATTACTTTGACCCTGCGAAGATGAGTACATTCATAGTCTTATTCCACGTAAAACTATTAAAACTTTAATAGTTTTGTTTTCGCAAGATTGAGTGCCTTTATAGATTTGTTTTTGCATTATTTTGGTAAAGCGAAGATTCGTACATTAATCGTTAAGTGCGCTGCCAAACCCAAGGTATTGAAAAGAGATTAATAGTCTTGTTGTTGTCCAGCGTGCCACATCGTGAGAATGTAATTAAAATATTGAATATAGGAAAGCGACTCCGTCGGTTTACTACATTCCTCCCCTCGAAGATGGAAGTCTCTGACTTCCCTTAGTTCAAAAATGTACGAAGTTGTGGATAGCCAGTAGGGCTGTTTCTTGGTGCGAGTGGAAATTCGACTATGTCGACGCTTCTTAGTGAGGCTTCTCGGTTCGCACCATGTGGTTGCGTTTCTTCTGGTGACTCTACTTTGGTGTAGTTTGTTTTGGTTTTAATTGTATTTATAGTAAATATGCTTACTGTCATAAAAATTACACTTGCTATGACATAAAGTATGTAATTATTCAGTTCCTGTGAGTTTTTAAGTTCGTCGATTTTGTTGTCGACCTTGCGTTGTTTTTCCAATTGTTTGTTCGAACCTGACACTGTATTTAGGTCCTCCATGTTGTTTGTTTTGACATGATAGTCTTCCATTAAATTGTTAGTCTCTACGCGTGGTGAGTAGTGGTTACGATCTATTATTGACCGTGGGTTGAAGTCCATATACTCGGATTTGTAGTCAACTTTACCCGGTATCAGTATGTCTCTAGTGGCGTAACCTTTGCAGGTTTCGTTTAAGTGTATAATTCCTACACCTTTAAGTGTGTGGCTAGTTGATTCCTTGTCTTCATCACAGGTGACAAATAGTACGTCGTAGTCGGTCACGTATATCCATTCATTTTTAAATCTCTTCTTATGAAATATAGTTGTACCTATTTGCACATGCATTACTTCACAACTGTTCGGAACCTTGTCTGGATCCTGCAATAATAGTACTTCGCATGTGGGTCGTATATTACGAGGATGTAAAGGATTACCTTCAGGACATAATAGGAAATCTCTAGCGTGTTTACAATGAGTGTAGTAAAATTCGTCATAAGTTGCATAGTGTTCTTTAGATTTACTTATAGCTATGTACTTATTACTAGGTTTTATATAAACGCAATCATTGTCAATACATACTGGTACAGGTATTAAATTATATAAAATAAAGTCGTTTTGATAAATTAATGGTAAAGTTATTATAAAAACTAAGTTGTCGTTAGCATAATAAATAGCAATATCTGAGAGTTTCACCAGTTCGTAAATGTTAGCAATGTCTAGGTCAGTGGGTAAATCAGTCCCCCCCTGGTAAAGATACTTTAATATCTTTGACGTGTTCTAGTAACTCTAGTGGAGTGATTAAACTTGGGTGTATAACTCCTATTTTTGCTTGTTGTATAATTTCTAATATCGTATCAGTTTCTAACATATGCTTTGTAATTAATAAGTTAACGTGTATAAAATGTTTTGTTAAATAATTTTTTATTTGTTGGTCTCGTGTAATGTTTGTAGTTCCGTTCACGGATAATGACAATGGCGACATAGTTATATTGTCGTGTGGTTTTAAATTATGTTGTAGTTCTACTACCTTAATTTGTTCCTTTATTAGTTTAGATTGTGAAGTGTTTTTAGCTAATCCTATATTAAAATTAAATTTTTGTATGCATTCCAAATTACATATTCCGTATATTAATCTAGCTGCTTTTGTTACGAGTTTAGTTAAAGTGCTACGTTTAGTTATTACGTGTCCAATAGAATTTAAGACCTGTGTCTTTTTATGGTGTAAATTTTCAACTATAGCGGAAGCTGAAAAAAGTAAATTGTTACAATTAAAATTATTTTGTACTGGGTCGTTCATGTATTCAACGCACAATACTTTCGTTTGTTCTATCACTAGGTTTATGTACTCGAATTCGTTATTATATTTAGTAAGATTAATATAGGCCGTAAGGTCCCATTGAGATGTTACAAGTTTCAACGGTCCTCGATTTTCGTAGTAAATACCAGAATGTTGAGTTAAATGTTCGTCTGTGAATCGTAATGTTCCTGATGTGAACGGTATTGTTAGTAGGATAAGTCTGAAATTGTTTCAGCTTATTAGTCAAGTCATAATTTTGAATATTTAATATATTCCTACCTATAAATATTTTGATTTTTAAAATCTAAGTTTATTAAATATTAACCCATTCCCATGTATCAATGATATATATATATAAAAAAAACTAATTGATAACCTTGTACCGAATAATAATAATAATAATAATAAATGTACGTAAAAAAAAACTAATTGATATCCTTGTACCGAATAATAATAATAATAATAATAATAAAATAATGAAATGATATACCAAAGAAAAAGTAAATATAAATTGAGTGAAAAATATAAATAATACGTTAAGTTACTTTATAATTCTACAGGTTCAATTTTGTTTTGTTTTGAGCGTACGGCGTCATTGATTGTATTTTTATGAATTTTGTAAAGTTGTAAAAAGAGGCACCGTGTCCATTGGACGTCTGCACATGGATCATGCGCTTCCAGTCCCCCGTGATAATATAAGTCTTCACATAACAGCGTATGTGCTTCGTCAAGTTTAAGCGCCCTTCCCCTTTTTATATGCTTTCCTATTGGGATTGATGCTATCGGCTCGTTACTTCCGTAGTCAGTAAGTAAAAGTACGAAATGTCCATCCATGTATAGGTCCCACCCTCGTAACGAAAATACGGGTCGGTTAATGTTTAATAGTTCTACAATTTTTTTGTCGGTGCTTCCCTCCCAAGTCAATATGGCGTCGTAACGATCTAATTGTTCTTTTATTTGCGGTTGGGTAAGGTTCGGTGACAATGAGTGGTCTGAGTCGTATATTTGGGCGAGTACAGGGTACAAAGAGGAGGGTTTATCCTTAAATATGTGTTGGAAATGTCTAACCAACTGTTTCCATTCATCATCCGTAATGGGTCGATTTTCCTGCAAATGCAACGCCCGCCCCTCTAGTTTTGTGATAATTGTCGGTTGATATCGGCCCATAATGGCGCCTGATATCAATATTAATCGATCTCGCCCGCAGCTGCCGAATTCGAAATCTATTATTGCGAACTCAGGTACTTTACTGTAAAATATACTTATTTTAGTCGTAAATTAAAAAAAAACAAATATCATGTTATTTATGTTAGTATATATATATAAATAAATCGAAGTTCCGTTTTAATAAAAATAAGAAAAATAGAAAAGTAAAATTATGGTTACATTATCAAAAGGTTAGTCGTTTATATACGAATATGTCCGTTGGATCTACCGTGCTGTCAATAAATTCTTTTAAGTAAATGCACAGTGGTTTTCTAAGTGGTCGGTTTTCTTTTGTCATGTCGTGATAAACGTGGTTGAGTGTGCGCGTTATTTCCAGTATTTCTGCTGGTGTGTATGGTCGCAATAAGTTTTTATTTGCTGTATCGATATGAAATAACAAGCAATTTGGTATTTCGTCGTGATATAGTGCGCGTCGGTTATGATGTTGTAACCCTATGGTTTTGCTAAGTTCCTTAATGAAAATTTGTTGTTTCATTCTAAAACAATAAAGGGAAAGATAAGGATAGACACTAGAAAACCGTGGATATTTGCATGCGTTTATGAAGGCTTTTGTTGATAAGAAATAAGATAGATTTGGCAAATTCTCAAAATAATGAATTAAAAACTTCGTATATAAAAAAAAAAAAAATAAAATTAATAACATTACTATGGGAAAAAACTAAAATTTAAGAAATTATTGTTCGTTATCGTTATCGTCGTAATAACGTTTGACGTTATTTTTATGAATTCTATATTCACGACGCCCTTTCTGGACAGTTATGTTTTCGTTGTCGTGTACTAACAAAATTTCAAATGGTCCTTGCCAGTTTAGACCTAGTGCGTTCTTTTTATTTTGTTCTTTAATCAGAACCTTATCGCCTACGTGTAGTTCGATAGCGTTCATAGTTTTATCATAATATGTTTTGTTAGACTCTTTTTTCTTAATTAGATTTTCCCTAGCTATCTTATGCGTTTCTTGCATAATCCGTTTAAGATCAAACACGTAATTGTCGTAATTATATTGTGGTTCTGGTTCCTTATTAAATGCTGAAGGAATAGTTGGTTTCGTTCCGAATACCAATTCGTACGGCGTAAAGTTAGTCGACGTATGAACTGTCGTGTTATAGCAAAACGTTGCGTAACATAAGAGTTTGTCCCAATTGTTGTCTTTGTCTACGAAGCTACGTAAGTAA